CCCCCCAAAATCCGTAGAAATTCCTCAACCCGGAGTTGGCGACCTCCGAACAAAGCCAGACGCTTTCTCCAGTCATATCGGTCTGAGAGCTCTTTATTTACAGAGGTAATCGAAGTCTAAGACGTGGTGCTACGGCTCCGAGGAACGAAAGAACCTGAGATGGTTTCGGGTGGGGAGGAGAGGCGGCGACTATCGCCAAGATATCCCTGTTTTTTTAAAAAAAGAAAAGAAAAATTCTGTCTGTTTACAATCTGTGACCTTAGGAGAAGGCCCGAGCTCAGGAGCAATATTTTAGGCACAGGGCGATGCTTGAAGGGCGTTCAGGATTCCCGCGGGGAGGAAGTCATTATGTTTTCTTCTGCTTGCGACCTGGAAAGGGAAAGAAGGGGAACAGGTGAAACTCGGCAGGGAGCCCGTGCATGCGGTCCATCGAGGTTACGACTGACTATCTACCCAGACGGGCGGCCGCTCTCCTGTGTCCCAGGCGGAGGACTTTTACCTCAGCCGCTATCGGATCCTCTCCACGGGGGGGACGTCGGGGATCGGAATACTGCTTTACACGGAGAGTGATTAAAATGTGGAATGTGCTGCCAGGGGATGTAGAGATGGACACAGGAAGAAGCAGCTTTAAAGGGGGGGTGGGATAGATTCAGGGAGGATAAGTCTATCGGGGCTACTAGCCATGGTGACTGAGGGGAAACTCCATGTTCGGAAGGCGTCAACCTCTGAATCCCAGAGCCAGGAGGCAACATCAGGGGAAGGCCTCGACCTCTGTGCCCTGTTGTTGGCTGTCTAGAGGAACTGGTTGGCCCCTGTGTGAGACAGGATGCGGGACTAGATGGCCCCTCACTGGTCTGACCCAGCAGGGCTCTTCTGATGCTCTTCTCAGGGGAAGGCCTCGGCCTCTCTGCCCTCTTATTGGCCCTCCAGAGGAACTGGTTAAGGCCCCTGTGTGAGACGGGACGCTGGACTAGATGGACCCTCCCTGGTCTGACCCAGCAGGGCTCTTCTGGTGTCCTTATCAGGGGAAGGCCTCGGCCTCTCTGCCCTGTTGTTGGCCCTCCAGAGGAACTGGCTGGCCCCTGTGTGAAACAGGAGGCTGGACTGGATGCACCCTCACTGGTCTGACCCAGCAGGGCTCTTCTGAGGTTCTTCTCAGGGGAAGGCCTCAGCCTCTCTGCCCTGTTGCTGGCCCTCCAGAGGAGCTGGCTGGCCACTGTGTGAGATGGGAGGCTGGGCTGGATGGACCCTCACTGCTCTGACCCAGCAGGGCTCTTTTGTTTTATTTTATTTATGAGATTTATACCCTGCCCTCCCCGCAAGGGACCCTTTGTAGTCCGCCTCTCCATGCATAGAACCCAGTACTTTTCATTGGCGACGAGGATGGGATCCCACGGAGCGAGCCGGACTGCCAGGCACCCATGGAAGACAAGGCGCAGCCGCGGCCGCTCCCGGCGATGAGCAACGAAGGCGAGCAAGTCGCTTCCCCGCCTCAACCGCGCAGTACGAGGGTAGTCGCTCCGGGAACAGGGCTGGTTCCCCCATTCGATCCAGCCCGTCCACATCAATGGGGAGCATGGGTCACGGGCCTCAAGTCTGTCTGCTCTTTGGACTTAGAGAAAAAGGGCTGCCTGCAGTGCTCCCTCTAAGCTGTGGAGTCTTGTGAGCAAAAATCCTACTTTGTGAGCTGCTGGCATTAATGTTGTGAGCGAGCCATTTGGCAGCGGCATCAGTTAGTTTCCTCTGGAGCCCTGCCTTCCTGAACAAAGGCAAAGAATGCACGAGCCAGAGGCTAAAAAACTGTGAGCTAGCTCACACCAACTCAGCTTAGAGGGAACACTGGTTACCTGCAGGCTAGACAGTTTTAAAATCTAGCTGCATAGAAGCCTCTTGTGGCCTGCCTACTGAAATAGGACCCCAGCCTTGGGACCAAAGAAAAATATTATCCCAGAGAGCAGCACTGTATTTCCTGAGTCCAACTGAAACCCCAGTTGCTTGGCAATGGATAACTGTAAGGACACAAGAGAAGCCATGCTGGATCAGGCCAATGGCCCCTCCAGTCCAACACTCTGTGTCACACAGTGGCCAAAACCCAGGGGCCATCAGGAGGTCCACCAGCAGGGCCAGAACTCCAGAAGCCCTCCCACTCTTGCCCCCCCCAAGCACCAAGAAGACAGAGCATCACTGCCCCAGACATAAGAACATAAGTGAAGCCATGCCGGATCAGGCCAATGGTCCCTCCAGTCCGACACTCTGTGTCACAGGCGCCATCAGGAGGTCCACCAGCAGGGCCAGAACTCCAGAAGCCCTCCCACTCTTGCCCCCCCCAAGCACCAAGAAGACAGAGCATCACTGCCCCAGACATGAGAAGATAAGAGAAGCCATGCTAGATTGGGCCAATGGCCCATCCGGTCCAATGCTCTGCGTCACACAGTGGCCAAAACCCAGGTGCCATCAGGAGGTCCACCAGTGGAGTCAGGAGTCCATAAGCCCTCCCACTGTTGCCCCCCCCCCGCACCAAGAAGACAGAGCATCACTGCCCCAGACATAACAGTGTTCCCTAGACCTTGTGGCTCATGGCCACTGGTGGACCTCTTCTCCAGATGTTCATCCAGTCCCCTCTTGAAGCGGTCTTTTTTTGTAGCCGCTGCCACTTCCTGCGGCAGGGAATTCACACACAGTGGGGAGCAGAATTTACTCACGCAATTCGTTGTTCCTGGTTATAGCAAAGGATGCCCTGGCCCTTGGTCCCTGCTGCGTGAAGTGGTAGCCAAACCGGATGATGGAGGGACAGTTTTCCAACATGGCCGCCATCTCCATCTCCACTGAGTCACCCAGTCGTTGGCACTGTGGAAGGAATGAGAGGCGGGGGGGGGGTCAGTCTGATGGGCACAGGGACACCTGGGTTGGGCCCACCGTCACCATTTTTACGGGCTGGGTGTAGAAAAGGATGCTCCAGACTAGAAGGAGGAGGAGGAGGAGGAGACGAGATTGGATTTATACCCCGCCCTTCACTCCGCGTCTCAGAGCGGCTTACAAACTCCTTTCCCTTCCCCTCCCCACAACAGACACCCTGTGAGGTAGGTGGGGCCGAGAGAGCTCTGACAGAAACTGCTCTTTTTCAAGAAAAGCTCTTATCAGAGCTACGGCTTGCCCAAGGTCATCCAGCCAGGTGCAAGTGGAGGAGTGGGGAATCAAGCCCGGTTCTCCCAGATTAGACAAGACACACCCTGTGAAGTAGGTGGGGCTGAGAGAACTCTGACAGAAACAGCTCTTTTTCAAGGACAGCTCTTGTCAGAACTTGTGACTGACCCAAAGCCACACCAGCAGGTGCAAGTGGAGGAGTGGGGAATCAAACCCGGTTCTCCCAGATTAGCGTCCGTGCACTTAACCAGTACACCAAACTAGGTAAAAGGAGAAACAGAGATCGGTTCCTAGCTACATCTCTAGCTGAGAGAGAGGGTAAGACTGGGCGTGGCTCTTCC